GTTGATCCAATATATATTGACTGTATACATGCATGCTTCTTAATTAAATGAGATAGTGGCACTCTTTAAAATTTCGTTAGGGCACTCAAATATTAGGACCAAACCTGATGCTAGCACGTATGCCACTTTATTCCCATTTCTTTAGTAAACAATAGAAACAATGATCTACACATTGTAAAAAATCAACAATATCTAACAATAAAGACTCACATGGATTAAATCAATAGAGCGAGTCGTTTTCAACATTGTCTAGTCAAATTTGGCCCTTTGTGCGAGTAACAATCCTTCTGTCAAGGTTAAAACCTCTGCATGTTCAAACGAAGAGAAAGTGAGCATTGTTAATATGCCCCTGTTTGGTTTAGCTAAAAATCAGAGTTTTATTATATTTCGATAAAAATTGATGAAATTTATGGTCGTAAGTTAATAAAAGTTGTAAGTCTCATTAAATATATGATTAAAATTAATTATTGACATTGATTTGAATTTTTATCAATTATTTTATCCAAATCAAACAGAGACTAAACACAGTTGCAATCCCCATCCCCCAATGATCTCAAATTACTGCCTTGACAGCAAAGAAACCATTAGTCATCTGAATCGCTGCATCCATATTAAGTTTCAATTCATCTGTAGTCAACAATATTTTCATTATTTCTCGATAATAATTGACAAAAATTCAAATTAAAGTTAACAATTAATTTTAATCATTTATTTCATGGATTTATAACTTTTATTAACTTTTCAATCACGCATTCCATCATTTTTTATTAAAAAAATTAGTAAAAATATGATTTTTAGCAAAATTAAACATGTGATAAGATATTTGTTTTAGACAAAAATGAACTCATTTTATTAATCAATTTTCTTAGTTAAAAAATGATATTGTTACCACTTCGAGAATATGTTTTGTGAGTGAACAATCGAGGGATCAGTTAAATTAATTGATGCTTAAGAGTCGAGATTTACTATTCAATTTTTGTAGTCCACGCAATTAATTATTGACACATTATTTTAAATTAACATGTCATCAATTTAATGGGTTAGTTGTGAAATTAATAAGAGTAAATTTGAGATGACGTTTTAATTTAAAAATGATGTATCAATAATGAATTGGGTAGATTGCAAATTGGACAGTAAAAAAATTGGACACCAAATCTCAACTCGATACTTACACCAGTATGGAGTACTATTGTTGGTAATTTACTTAATCATGTACAACGAAAAATAAATAATAATTCAATTCCCACCAAGGGTCTTCTTTGTATTTAGAAAGAAATTGTGATAGAAAATTTCATCTTTGATGAATTCATTGAAGAACAATTCTGATCTGCAATCCACAGCTATCCAAGTGTCCAACTTCCAATAAAAATCTACAAATGGAACAAGATTGAGAGAATTAGAGTTTTTATTTTCTTGTACTAGCAAGGATATAATTATATTATTTTATAATTTTTCAAACCCTAACAGTCTATTAATAAAAGTCCAAGTGGTCTTGGCGAGTCTCTGAAACTCAATCCGGTCTAATATTTAATTAATCTAATTAATTAAATTTAGTCTATGAATGAATGAATTAACTCGAGCATATTAACAAACAACTCAATTAATTAATTATCTAACACTTGTTAATTAATTAATTAGTGAATATCATTCTTTTAGTTCTCATTTTGTATGTAACTCATTAGATTCCCGATCACGATACCTAACGATAGAAATTATTATTTTGATCAATAAATTAAATTCCTCATTTTAATTTATCTCCAATTCACAGCTGTCGTCCCAAATTGACATCTAGTAATGTGTCAAACAATATACGTAACGAAAAATGTCACGTGGTATGACAAAACCTAACTTGTTAGTTTACCGTGAAATTATAATCAATTAGTTTAAATGATCCGATCAATTATGATATATGAAAATACGTCAATCTCGATCATTAATCATATCTTTCATCACACTCTTAAATTAATATAAGTCGAAACTCTTTTCAACTTATGAGCACACATTGGTTAATGATTTCGTTATCAATTTAACTGATAAAACGTAGATCATAGTCTCTTACTATCTAAGAGTGACAAATCCTCTGTTGATCATTCACAACATTTATATGATTCTTGAAATGTCCGAACGATAATGTATTAGTGACTCTTGGTAAAATAATAACCAATATCACTAAAGCATGGTTATCACAATATAAGGCATTATAATGACCTCAAGTCAAATGACCAATCCAACTACCGAACGTTAGATATTAACTACGACACTCAGATAGTTATCCATGTACAATCTTTCCAACTGATCTCCAATATTTTGTTTTATAACAAAATATTCATGTATTCATTTAAGTATTACCACATTTTCGTTTGTGAGATCAGCTACTTACTCCACAAGTAAGAAATGTCACACATGATAGTCTGTCCGTAATAATGATATCCATATCTCGAAATTATTTACTTCCACAAATGATTTAAAATTCAGTCATACGTAATTAGTATCTCACAATCACACTTCTTGTGATTAACAAATTATTAAGATTTGAACCTATAGATTCTATTATTTAGTAATTCAAATAAATAATAAATATTGCCATAAATATAATGTATCAATTATATATTAAAAGTGTTTACATCCAAAATCGATTAAACCTTGGGTATAATACTTAAAAACTCCCACTTACACTAGATCCAATTACTTATGTATCTAAATAAGAGTTTACATGATAATCATGTTTATACTACAACAATTCTTTGTCAGTGATTTGCAATATTATCAATTGTGGGAATTCGTTCATTCTTTATGTCATTTCTTTGTTTTATCTTTTTAATGAGATGATATCGCTTTAACAAAGTTTGAATCATTGATGAAACTAAGGGTGGGCAAAACTCAAACCAACCCGACTAAACCGACCCAAACCGACTGGTTTGGGTCGATTTTTTGCATTAGTTGGGCGGGTTATGGGTCAATTTTTTGGGTTTCGGGTCGGGTCGGGTCCGGTTGTGGGTTAACGACCCAAAAAAAAGAAAAAGACAAAAGACAAAACCCTAAAATCCTAATTCCTAACCCTCGTCCCACAGTCCAGTGAGCCCACACACAACACAACCCTCGTCCCTATTCAATCTTCTTCTCTCTCTGTTTCTTGCTCTCTCGCTTAGATCTGCAGATCTGCTCTCTTGCTCACGGCTCACCCATCAACCACGGTGAGAAAGGTAATCCGAGACCACCATCGATTCAGTTTCTACTTTCTATTTTGATTTATGCTATAACAGTTTCATAAATCATTATTCTGCCAGTTTCAATTTTGAATATGTTATATGTATGGCGAACTTTGTATGATTAGAAAAGGATTCTTAGTTCTTGAATTACATTAACGTGTTTGACAATGAAATTTTTTTTAACGTGCTTGACGAGAAAATGCTTTTGTTCTTGGTCATTAACGATTTCTCTGTATTCGACTGCCAAAATGTTAACCACCGATTCATTTCTCATTTTATTCTTTTGTGTAGCACCTGTCTTTTTGTTGTATTTACTCAACCTTTCTTATGAAACCAAGCTAAGATCCACGCAATGCATTAGCTATAACCAATGAATGCTGAAGTTGATTGTTCCTCTTCTCTATGTTATAGCAACTGGCTGTCCAATCATGCAAAAATTTAGTGAAGTAATGCTTCAGCTTACCATAAATTAACATACTCGTTCCATGTCCTATATTATTGCTCTGTTTCTACTTATTTATTGAAGGTTACTATGTTGTTGAGCTTAACATAGCTTAAGCAATCTGTTTTTACTTGCTGTTGAGCTTTTGACTCTTTGTAATCAATTATCTGGCAGCTTCTTAGGGATGGAGATTGAAATAATTTAGGTGCTGTTTTTTGATGAATTGACTTTTTGCTGTTGAGCTTTTGACTCTTTGTAATCAATTATCTGGCAGCTTCTTAGGGATGGAGATCGAAATAATTTAGGTGCTATTTTTTGATGAATTGACTTCTGCATTTTATTAATTTGATTTAGACATGCATGTTTGTAAACTTATGCAATAAGCTTATCTCAAACCGACCAACCCAACTCAACCCAACCCGACCGACACATAATTGGGTTGGGTTGGATTGGATTTCAACATTTACATGGGTTGGGTTGGGTTGGATTTCGAACAAACCGACGATGTTGGGTTGCATTTGGGTTGGGGCAAAAATCGACCCGACCCAACCCATGCCCACTCCTAAATGGATTTAAGATTAAAAATTAGCTTGTGTTCAGTATGTGTAAGAAATTTTTTTGGGAATTACAAACCCATGACAAGTTAGGGCATGTGGATTACCGATGAAAGAAGGAAAAAGTTTGTTTTTATTTTTGTCGTTGTCGGGCATTTCTCTATCATATTGAGGCGAACATTAAATTGTTGACTTTGAGTTTGACTTTTTAACATTTTTTTCCTACGCAGAGAAATGGTTTCTGTAAAAAGAACCTTTTTTTTTAATTAATCTGAAGGTTCCTCTTTATGATGCAAAAAGGCAAGTACTTCCATTTAGAAAGGCTACTTGATCAACTCGTCTCTCTACTCAATCGGATCGAGTTGAAAAGAAAACAATTCTTTTATTGATACGCACAAACGAGTAACTCTGGCCGCACTGATTTGGGTGGTTGATCTATTCTCACTTCACCAGTCAAGTTAGAACAAAGTTAAGAAAGAGCAATTATTTTATCTTATCAAAGAGGAAACGATCATGCGATATACACTGGAGCAGGTGATAAATCACATCACCATTCTCGTCATCATCCAAAATCATAAGCTGTTGGATTGTTGCATGTGGAAGTATGAGGCAGAAAACAAAGAATCAAATAGTTATTTCCACATCCTCCTATCTAATCGACAAATTCAACAATTAGAATATCAGATATTTGAAAAGGCCACCCTGTACACTTCACTATCTCTTTTCTTTTTCTTCTTTTTTATTATACCAAGATTCTCAATAAACGAGCGTAGCATATTTCCAGGAGGAATTTATATGGAAAACCCAGAACCCATTACTCACAAGAAAACTCTGAGAAGAAGCAGTAATAGTCACATATCAATGTCGGATACCGAGTCACAAGGGAGTCAAATTGACTCGTTTCAACCTCCCCTCCGATCAAACTCTCTTCTCCACTCCAAGGGTCCAGTTTTCTACCCAGAAAATGATGTCAACTACAAAAGTGGTAATGGTGGTAAAATATCATTGTCTGATTGTAAAGCCCTTGTTCCTGTTGATTATTACTACTCCCCTTTACCATCTCTGGGACAATCCATTTTTCCGTCAAGTTCTCTGGCCAATGGAGGAAAAGGCAGGCAGCCCGAGCCACAATTGGAAAAGCCCACTTCCGAAAATGTTGATTTAAGGGCAAGACCTCCGGCCACCGAAGGTAAGGTCTGGAGAACCTTTTCTCCCTTCACGACTGTGAATCGTGAGTTTTCAGGGAAGGGCGGACGGGGGCCAACGTCCGTCGTGGCATTCAACCGATCTGGAAGGGAGGAGCCGGTGACAAAAATGGGGCCGGTGGGTGGCGGTGGAGAGGATGAGGTGGGAGGAGAGAGACCGTCGCGGGCAGCAGTGGCATCAATATTGAGGAGATCGAAAAGGAAGGTAACGGTGACGAAGGCAGCTTTGGGGTTCAGAGTATGTGAAGTGATAGTGTGTTTGATCTCATTTTCTGTTATGGCTGCTGATAGAACTCGAGGATGGAGTGGTGATTCGTTTGATCGATACAAAGAGTACAGGTTAGCATTCTTTCTTTTGCTTCTGCATTTATACTTTAAATTGCTTATATGTGTGATCCAGTACGAAAATGCGCATTTCAAATTTTGTTCACAAAATTGATGCTCGTATTCCTCGAACCTTACCTGCAAAAAGGCAGAAGAGAAGTTAAGTTTCTGATTCTTCTCTCGTGTTAGAGAGCATGTTTCGATGTTGCTTAGAACTTACTTGCTTCCAAAAAAAGTTAAGTTTATTTGTAAGAAGAGTAATTTGAAAATCAAGTTATATAAAATAATTATCTTGATCCATCATGTTCTAATTAAGCTGAGAGGTGTAGGAGAGGATAACTTTAAATTGAGGCTAGTTTTGCTTTCGTAAATTATGCAAGTGAGGTCAGAGGCATTTTAAAGGCAAAATGGGGATGAAAATTTTGTGGGTGGAGTTAATGTGATTGTTGGAGTATTGGGGTGATTTAATCGAGATCCATGATCTTTGGGAATAATTCCTGCTGTGCTATCAAACCAGGTGTGATTGAAGTATCGTCGTTAGGCTTAGGGCTCGGCTTTTACAGTGACATCGGGATTGGTGTGTATTCTGTATCATCAAAGTGTATATCATGCAGTTGAAATTTCTTAGATTAATTTGTTTACTGTTATATGGTTGGTTTAAGGAGAGAATACAGATTTAGGAAAGAATTCATGGATGGAATTTGATATTATATATAATCAAGTTGCTGACCTCTAATTGAACTGTGATTCATTTGTTGCTTAAAGTAGATTTGCCAAACCGTGTTATGATTATAATTATGTCTCATCGTTACAAAGGTATTGTGTAGCCGTGAATGTCATTGGATTTGGATATTCGGGATTTCAAGCGTATGATCTTACCTATCATTTGGTCTCAGGGAAACATGTCTTCTCTCACTATCTACGTTACCATTTTGATTTCACAATGGATCAGGTAAGCAGTTTTCTTCTGTATTCTTCAGCTGATGCAAACTTCTCTTGTATTGTACTTCTCATAAAAATAAATAAATAAAAATACACGCATGTAGTCATGTATTTTAGATTTGGTAGTGTTTGGTGACCTCTGAACAGGTTGTAGTGTCACTCTAAAATGCAGCTGCTATAGATTGAGTTATATCATCATTTTATTTACAATTGATCACTTTTATTAGAACTAGCTGTTGAACCGTCTGATCAAGCTTAAATTCTTAAAGAGTTGACATATATTCTTGTTTAACTTCAGTTTTTAACACACACCCCCTCACGTGCATGTCAAATTCGTGTTTTTCATTGAAAGCCTTACACATTCACAAATTTCAAAAACTAGGTCACGGTAAGAGAAGGGCATGTGTACTTATTTAAATTTTGACTTCAAAGCGCCTCTTGTATGCAAATTGAATTCATTTTTTGTCAAAGACGTGAGTTTCACAAGCACAAGCACAATTTTCATGAAGGAGCAGCGGCAACACCTGTAGTTTGACAAAGGTACATAGTAATGCTCCAAACTAGAATAGACAGTATAAAGAACTAGATTTTTAGTATCTTTTTTTCTCTCTGGATACTATCCAGTCAACCCGCTCTACCATACAATCCACTATAGCTTTTACATTAGAGTCTGGTTCCTTAGATACTTGTACTATAGTTTTTACATTATAGTTTGGTTCTTCGGATACTTGCTCAAAGAAACATTGCACTTCTTGTCTGGCAGATTCTGGCATATCTCATAATGTCGGCATCATCTTCAGCAGCAACAAGGGTGGACGGATGGACATCTACTTGGGGGAAAGATGAGTTCATGATAAGGGCAATTGCATCCATTGCAATGTCTTTTCTTGCTTTCATTACCTTTGCCTTGAGCTCTATTATATCTGGCTACAACCTCTTCAACCAAGAAGCAGTTTAATCTCTTCACCTTCGGTCAATATATATATATATTTTTTGTTTGTAACAATTCTTAGAATATTCTGCGCCGTAATATGACTGCAGATAATTTCTTGAGTTGTACAGATACTGATAGATTAACACCATTGCCTTTTTCAGCTTTAACGTCGGTATTATTTGGACAAATAAATCGTCAAGTTCCTCTGCATTTAGCAAAAATATCTACGTGTATAAATGTGCTGAAGAAATGCTATTCATCCCCAGTGGGGATGCATCCCCAATCTATGTGGCATTAAATAATGGTGAAATTAAATAAGTCATTTAATTTCACCTATTATTTAATGCCACATAGATTGGGGATGCATCTCCACTGGGGATGAATAACATTTTTCAATGTGTTGAGACCTTCTAGACCCAGACCACCAAGCTTGTAAAAAGCATGGCCCAGCTTACAGAATGGCTCGTGCTGTGCCGAGTCTGACTGCAGGGTATGTCCGTCCAGGCCGCGCTGAGTGATTGAGTAGGTCACCTATCAAATATAAATGTAGTGGGAGGAGGAAAACAAAACAGACTACTGTCATATTATTAAATAAATGAAAATATGTACAATATTGGACAATGCGACGATAGACACTGCCAACAAACTATTGTTCATCACCACACATTCTTGTAATGAAATATTGTATGCACTATGCAGTGTATAAAAAAAAATGTTGTTTTCCAAGATTGGGAAGGCATGAAACAAATTAAAACAATTGAATGGAGCTGGAAAGCTATGTACTTTTAATTCCTCCAATATCGTTGATAATTGTTGACAATTGAATTCGATTCTTGACTATTATTTTCATATGCGTAATAGTGCCAAGAGAGGACCTTATTTCAAGCTGTTCAAGAATAGTGTGTCGAGTACTGAACTATCAAAACCTCAGTTCAATGTTTTTATCTGACCCCAGTATATGAAATGCCATCATATTAGAAGAAAGAATGCAAAAATGTTCACACCATTACTTCACAACAGAAACAGCATGGTATCTGCCGATGGCTAAAGGATTTAAAGCCAAACAGTATTATCAAAAGATGATGCCCTGAACCAGCAATTGACTTGACCTAACAAAAAGTACAGCCAATAACCCAATTTGTGTGAATTACATAGTTCATAAAATTAGATGAGGTGCCTTCAAAACTTATTTCACTTATCGACTGAAGTCTTTCTCTTCCGATCAGGTGTGGAGGAATCCTGTGCTTGAGACTGACCAAAGACTGACCTGATTTTCAAGACAGACAGAAGTAAACTGTAAATGATCTTGTGTAAAATATAAGCTTTTAGTGCATCACTTCTTCATGGGATTCCCGTCTTTCTTTGATTGTTCTCTTCGCACTTACTCTCTTTTATTAACACAATGCAGGTAAAGCAGGATAGACGAACAGGAATGCTCCCCATCTGCTATAAAATTCTAACGATGCATGTATTCATTACAAAAATATCAAAAAAAAAAAAAAAGCATCAAAATCCAAATGAGGTACATCATACTCATAACTAAGATTCAATTTGAGAAATTCCATATCAGTGACAAGTATTTGAGATTAAAAAACATAAAACATAAAAACCACTCCAGATATGCTTGATGATTTTATCTAAATTCTAAAATCAGTTTTGAGTGGAGTAATCAAGAAAATGTATTCTATTTGACCAAAAAGAGAGCATAAAACACATTTTTCGAATTCTTTTCATTGCCATACTTCCAGTCTTCCAGTAAATTGAAGATACTGCTCTATTTTTCTTTTTGGCTGCTACAATAAGATTCATTTTTAATTTTTGTTATTTATTCTGTATAAAAAAATAGAAATAGAGAAACAAAGAAATATGTCTCAACATGACCCACTTGTGCCTCTGATGAGTCATCAGAATTGGAGGTATGCAGTGCTTTGACCCTTGTGAAAAAGCAACTAATTTTCATGTAATTAAGTCTAAACCATATTTCATACTATTTTTTCGTTATTTTGAGGGAACTCTCCAACATATCAGATAGACATCAGTCAAGCTTTTTCTTGCGTTGCTTGTGTATCTCTTTTTTGCCAGTTGTCTGAAACCAGTATATTTTATGAGGTAACAACAGTATTTTAAACCCTGGCATAAAGATTATGATACTGAAACCAATATGTAATGCAACACAACTTGAAATGGAAGTAGTAAGAGAAATGGAGCTCACCCACAGGTTGAACATTTCTTCTGATGCTTGCAGAATATTGACAAACAAACAGAGCATATGTAGCCCATGTCAATTGTGTTTTTGTGGCAAAAGCACCTGCAGACTTTACAGTATCAAAAATCAACAATTTAAAGCACCCATAATCATTTTTCTTTCTCTCTTCACTCGATAATCCACTCCAATTCATGCTTGCAGTTTAAAAAAGTGTGCAGCTGCCCTTATGCAAGTTAACAAACACAATTTTGTGGACGAGCATGGAAATCAGTTTTCCAAAAATTCAACCATGCACCACCTGTACCATTATAGGATATAAATGCCAGATTTAATAGTTATCACTCGTCACTTAAGACTTGAGAGGTTTTTAACTACAATTATTGCTTCAAACCTACTTAAACAGCAAGACATTAATTGTACGCTATAGGCCACTGAGAAGCTTAATTGATAAAATTGGAGAGAATCCTGTTCTGATTGGTGTATACAAGAGAAAAAAGATGTAAAAATAAATAAAAAGATAGCAGCGCAGGTGTAGTGGAAAAACATTATTGAGTTTTAGTAAACAGTGATAATATATAAAGAAGAAAATTATACATAGATAAGAATATTTTCGGGGAAGACAATAATAATAATGCACAGGTTCCTGAAGCAACTTACGACGCACGAAAGTCCACCCCCACAGGCTTAGGAAGTTGTAAAAAGCTGCGAGAATGCAAATCTGTTGCAAAAACTGTCTGCATGCGACAATAATCATAAATTAATACCCGATAGTGTTGCAGAGTAAGGGGAGCAGTTGCAACATGCAAATTTTGAATGTCGGACAAATTTTGATGACACAAAAGAAAGATTCTTCCTACATTATATCGACGGCACATAAACCAATGATAAGAAGGCAGCTAATTCAATAAAATAGGAAACTTGTTATGAAAGCAGGATTATTACTAACTCCATGCAAATCTCTGGAATGCTAGTCAAATCAAAGTGAAGAATGATCATTATCATAAGGACCAGAAGGTAAATTCTAACTTTTGAAAAACGCATTAAGTCCACAATATATACCGTCTGCAAAATTCATATTGAAATAAAAAAATAATAAATAAATAAAAATTATTGGTACTAATGAAACGCAATGTAATTCCAAATAAAATAAAGAAGTGACTGGTACAGCAACCATAGTGTCCATGAAAACCATGTTCAAACAAAGTGAGATTTCCCAAAGAAGAAAACAACCCCGTATGGATGGAGAAAGGATTCCTTGAAAAGAAGGAACATCACTTTGCTTCCTCCCACCAACTTAGGGGGTCTATCGGGCTCGGATCATCCCACTTGGCAAGCTAGCTCGTGCTCGTAATTGGGGCGAGCAAACATGAGCTAGTTCACTTCAAAAAACGTCAACTCGGCTCGGCCACCAGCTCGCCCATTGGTGGGGCAAGTTGAGCTAACTCACGAGCCCCTCATGCTCACCAACAATTTTTTATTTTTTCTTTTGAAAATTCAATTTTTTTTTAGTTTCTCAGCTCCCCGATAAGCCAATGCGAGCCACTGAGCCAGCCCCCCACAAACAGAGTGTATGTTCATGTTTTTCTCACTCATGCACGCATGTATTTAGAAATTCTAAGTTCTTGACAAAAAAAAAACATATAAACATGTGGACTAATAACATTTATAGGTCAAACCTCTTCTTTCAAATTAAATTATTTCAACTTTAGAATATTTTTTATAATATTCATTTTCCTAATAATGAAATTCACATTACATTATACCTTTATGAATTCTATAATTTCAATCACGCCATTTTATTTTCCAAAAATAAAAGAACTAAATTGCCAAAAAATCTAACCGGACACTTATCTAGTAGCCATTTACCATTCACATCACCTTTGAATGCTAAAGATTTTATATTTGAGTGCAACAAGAAAGATCTTATGATGGGGAGGTATACATTACTTTAGCCCCTGTTTGGTACCGATTAAAATCTAGATTTTAATTTAGGTCAAAATCAACAATTAATTTTAATTGGGTTCCACAACTTTTCAACCATCTATTTTATCAAAATATACTAAAATTTTGATTTTAATCCCAATCATTTCATCAAGTTTTATCAAAATCTACTAAAAATCTAATTTAAATCCCAATCAAACAGGGGCTTAGTGGTGCCATCATGAGGAGTACCTACCGACAGATATTGAAAAAGCCCATCCAAAAGTTGAGGCTTCAGATATACACCACCAGTTATATAAGAAGCCTGCAAATCACCAGACCAATGTAAAACTTGTTATCAGGAACAAAAGAAATTAGTGATATGATCTGCAGAATGCTACCTGCTGCAGGAAAGCAGAATGTTGAGCTCCCAGTATGCATGAATCCACAGGTACCTGCAAGAACCATTTGCATTTAATACAAACAGTTTACGAAGAATCATTTAAGTAAATATACGACAAGATCAATGAATATTTTCCATAGCTTGCGAAACAGTGTCATTGGAAGATATTGATAAAATTAGTTATATTACAGACCTCTTGTAGGTTCTGCAGTTAAGCTGATGTTTTTCAGTAGAACACTTCACTTCACAAAATATATCAATTTTAGAGGCACCTAAAATATTGGTTCCACCATTCTCTATCATACTTTATAAGTGCATACATTTTTAAGTCTACAACCATTGCCTGTTTCAGTTTGTTCAATGTGTATATTTAGTATGTTTAAGCTGTTTGCAGGAGAGCAAGAAATGTAAGGTTGCACTCCAGCTTATTACAGAAAGGATAGTCCTGGAGGGTGATTCAACTACCATTGCAGGTATTCTTGGGAGGAAGGAAAA